AACTAATATACAAAATTCAATATAATGATTATATATATATATATATATATATATTATTAAAAAAATTTATATTTTACTTGAATTAAATTAATATGCATATTTCTTTATAATTTTAAAATTTATCTTGAATATGTTCTTTTATTTATACTTGTAATTTTTATTTCAATTTAAGAATTTCCATTCAATGTATAAAATACTAGTTAAAATAAAATTGTGGGAATAGCATTGTTGTAAATATTGTCAAAAAGAAGAATTAAAAAAAATGTCAAGATCTGTCGGCTCTTCACTTGAATAGATTTGTTGCTGAAAAGAAAAATTGAAGAAGAAGCAATCGATCGACGGAGTTAATATGCAGTTAATCTTAAAATTAAAGTGATAAAATTAAATTAATTATAAGTAAATCTAGCAACTAATGTGATCCTATGATCTTATCTTATATTGATGGCGTAGTATTAAAGTTGACACTATGGTTCGCTTATTATTAACACGATTAATACTACTTCCGTGTAAAGTGATTACTAAGCTTATTCTTCTTAGGCTTATAAAATATACCTAAAAAAATGAATAAAACATCTAGAAAGTTGTCAATAATCAAGCTTCAAAGCTGTGAGTCTTTATTTTTAAAAAATTATTGCGTATTCATAAGCACGTAATAAAATCACATACCTATTAATTTTTTAAAAATTATATAAAAATAATATCAAATTGTTAAAAAACTTTGTGTTGAACATGATGAGAAAGAATTTATAATAATAGTTTCAAGTCACAAAATCAATAGCTATCTTTATAAAGATATTTGTTTCTACACGAAGTTGCTATGGGTTGATAACGATGCTTCCCTAAGATATAATGAAACACTACGTCTAAAAAGAATTGTGAGAGTGATTCCATTTTAAATTAGAGAGCATTTAAAAATGTTCTAAAATCTTGTGTTATCTAATGTGTTGCATTTAAGAGAGTGGTTGTTTAAACCACTCTCAAAAGTTAATATTAGAGAGTGGTTATATGCGGAACTGCTATTCAAAGTATAGATGTTAAGATTAGGGAGCGGTTCCATGCGGAACTGCATGCTCTCCAAATTATAGGTGTAAACTACGAATTTAAAATTTAAAATTTATTTCTTTGTGAGTTTTTTAGATCTGTTGCAAATTAAAATTAATTTATTATTATATTTAAATTTTAATTTATAAGTCTGACATTTAAAATTTTTTTTTATCACAAATTAAAATTAAATCTTGAGTTTATACAGTGTGTTAACCAAACAGTTCACATCTGCATAAACTAAACACAAGTAAGCAGAGAAAAAAAGAACAAATTAATAGGACAATTCATCGTTAATAAAGAAAAAAAGAAAGAATGAATGATTCATCGTTAATAAAAAAAAATAGAATGAATTGTGAAAAATGTACCTGTAGATGAGAAAAAAGAACAATTTTTTAGCGCACAAGAGATGAAGAAAACATAAAATACAAAGAGAACCTACATACATAAAAGATATGAAAAAAACTTATAAAAGTAAAAGAGACCAACTTTGTTAGTAAGACGAAGCGCCAAGAGATTCATGAGTTAAGCAAACTTTACTTATAAAAGTTAAAGACTTTGAAGAAAAATTGATAGAGAATCACTATTAAAAATACAGATTTGAGAGCTATTTAACGCTAACTGTTATCTAAAGTATAACTTTGGAGAGCAATTAAATGAGAGCGGCGTTGAACCGCTCTCAAAAGTTTATAAAAGTTAAGCGAGCTTTATTTATAAAAGTTAAAGATTTTGGAGAGTAACTCTCTAAAACTAACTTTAGAGATAAGCTAATAGAGAACAGAAGTACAAATTTGAATTTGAGAAGTTACCACTCTTCAAAAGTGACTTTACAGAGCAGTCAATAGAGAACTGCTCTTAGAAATATATATCTGATAGCGATTTAATGCTAACTGCTCTTTAAGGTATAACTTTGAAAAGCAATTAACAGATAACAACTTTTAGAAGTATAGATTTGAAAGCAGTTCAACGCTAACCACTATATAAATGTATTGTTATAGAGCGGTTTCTATTAACTCCTATCTAAATTAGGTGCTTCAAAAATTCGTTTCTAGTGACCTTTAAATCTCTTGTCTAGCCATAACAAGAAATTTTCTTTCTTAAACTTGAAATTTAAGAATATTCAAACTCATAAGTTATACACAGTAAAAGTTCGTTACGTGTTCAATAACAAGGATTATTTATAGTTAATGATTTAAAATCAAGAGATACTATTGAAAGTCATATCATTTTACTTGAAAATCATGTTTTTAAAACCAAAAGATATCTTTAAAAGCTATATCCTTTCACTTGAAAGTCACTTATTTAAAACCAAAAAATATCTTACAACATTGTACATGAACCAAGACACTTATTCATAATTAATAACTATTTCATCTTTCTTAATTATTTAAATTATTTACTTTTAAACTTGTAAATATATTTCATAAATTATTTTAATAATAAATATATTTAAATTATTATTTTTTATTATACGTCCATAGTAAAATATTTTATTTATTTTATTATATGTGCACTCCACGCAATGCACGGACACTGTCATTTTGATACTTTGATACACAGCTTGTTTTGCTTATGGTATTCGCACCATTTATATTTATATATATCACTCGTAAAGAAAGTGTGTAAGCAACTCAGTTGGATATAAAACTCCCCAAAAAATCAAAGTTTCTTTTTAATGATCATTGAAAGGAATGATAATTAAAATCGTACATAAAATATACCTAGAATTTTTTTTATAACGAATGAAAAATATTAAAAATGTATGAGTACCTTATTCTCGGGTGTGCATATATAATTTTTAAATATTTTATTATTTAATGTAAAAATTAAGATAAAAGAGAGAATGTATTCTATTTATTTATTACGTGAGTCACGAATCTTAATTTTTTTAATACAGAAATAGCTAATAAAATTAATTATATTCTCCTCTTTCATTTAATTAATCAATGTATAATTTTTGTCCCTTAATAAATTTTACTTAGTTTTAGTTTCTTTAATTTCACAATTATTATAATAAAGCCTAATTTTGAAATATGACTATAATTTAATATTTTTATTATAATCTTATATTATCACAATGAAGATTTTTTTTAAAAAAATCTTCTTTAAAAGAAGTCAAAAAATTAAAAATTATATATTTTCTAAAGTTAAGAAATAAAGTATAAAGGGATAGCCAATGATTAAAAATTACAAGTTCCTATAATTATATAATTTATTATAAATATACATGTATTTAACCATAATTTATAAATCATTTTTAATTAATGAATCTAATTTTTTATTTTATAAGCGTTATATTATAAAATGATAATTTTAAAAAAAAATTATCCTCAATAAAATATTTTAAAAAATTAAAAAAGTCCAATCTCACCACTTTGTATGAAAAAATTTAAATGGTAAATCCCACATAATAGATTTTTTTATTCATGTAAGGCAAAACATCTAATCAAATATAAATTTTATTTTTATACACTTTTCTTTCTACATTTTATCATTTCTATTAAAAAAAAAACAAACAAAACATAAAAGAAAAGGTAAGAAAAAAACATGAAATTTGCTGGCACCATAAAACTTCTTTAGTTTAGTTGACAATGTCAAAATATTTATTAACAGCAAGAACCAAAACAGTATATATATATATATAGAGAGAGAGAGAGAAAGATTTTCATATAAGAACTAAATTAAAAATTAGTATAACATATAAGAATAAAAAATATATTCAAACCTTAAAAATATAAACAAAAGCGTAAAAAAGTAAGATAAACCAATAGTTATGCTTAGATGATAAAAACTTAGTAGCAAAAGATAATGCATTCGATAATATATGTTTAAGTATACTCATCCATCATTGTCTATAAACGTGCTAAAATTGATGTGACCTACTTAATGACCATAGTGATAATTAATTAATTACTAAAAAGCAACAAATAATATAAAGTTAAATGATCACCATCCTGATAAGGTAAGGAATTTTCAAATTTTGATCACAAGAATCCTCATAGGCCCACAGTGTCAAACTTTGTCATTGCGCCAAGGCAAAAAATGCAGCCAGCGACAGCAAATTCTGTTACTCAATATATATATATATATATATATATATATATATATATGGAACGGAATTTTCTTATAATGATGTAAGTTTAAAAACTCTTACATTTAATTTAAACTTTTTATTTAATTTAAATTTAATGAGTTATAATTTATTAATTTATTTATTATTATTTTTAAATTAAATAAAATACTCAGATTGAATGTATAAATACTGGTGTAAAAAGATCATTCTCTTATATATATATATTTGTATTATTCATTATATTTTTATTTCTTTCATTTTTCTGCTCATTTTAATTTCACACCGTAGATAATAATTTTCTTAATCTTTTGTTTCTCTCTCTCTCTTTTATGAACAGTGATATTTTCACATTCTTTGTTGGAGTGTAAAATAGGTCAAAAAAGATAAAGATGTCGACGAAAGTTAGTTTAATTAGTAAGAATTAGATTCGTATATCCTAAGAACTTGAGTTCAAATTTCATTTTGGAGGTGAAGACTCTCTTGATAGGTGATCTATAAATAACTCTCTAAACATTATTTAAACCTTAAACAATGCCTGACTCAAGCGAGTCTGTGAAACCTAACTCATCTAAATTTTATGTAAAAAGAGAAGGATAGGAAGTAAAGAAAATAATAATAAAGATGTGATAAATAATGTGACAAGACAAAATTTTAAAATAAATATAAAAAAATATTTGAGATTTTTTTAATTGCGAGTGTAACTATTCATTCTTTTTTCTTCTATAAAAGCCACCCTTGTGTCGTGGCTTCAAACAAGCAGGAAGTACGTAGCAGCATCTCCTTTTTCGCTTTCATAGATATCAGAGAACTTTGGAACTCGTTAAGGTCTTTTAAAGAAAACAACGGCAGTAGCAAGATGACCACTTCCAGCAAAAACATGTTACTAAACTATGTTCCAGCTTATGTGATGCTCCCAGTAAGTCATGCACATAACTAGTGTGTTTCCATGATACCATTTTATGTACATATGAAACAATCAAATAACAACGATGCACATAAACAAACACATGCTAATTAACATGTTTTATTGCTTTTGTTTCATACAACTTTAGCTTGGAGTGATTTCTGCTGAGAATGTCTTTGAAGACCCAGATGGGCTCAAAGAAGGACTCTTGAAGCTACGAGGAGCAGGTGTTGATGGGGTTATGGTTGATGTGTGGTGGGGTATCATAGAACTGAAGGGGCCTAAGCAATATGACTGGAGTGCCTATAGGCGCTTGTTTCAACTGGTTCAGGAATGTGGCTTGAAACTGCAAGCCATCATGTCATTCCATCAATGTGGAGGGAACGTAGGAGATGTTGTTAACATCCCAATTCCTCCTTGGGTACTTAACATTGGAGAATCAGATCCTGATATCTTCTACACCAACCGATCGGGTACCAGGAACATAGAATATCTAACCCTTGGTGTAGACAAGCAGCCTATTTTCCATGGAAGAACAGCCATTGAGGTGAAATGTGTGAATTAAAATTACCTTTCTAATAACTAGCATTCATGCTGTCAATTCATGCATTACAACAAAGAAGTATAATAATAATAACATGGCTTACTAAAAAACTAGAGAAACTGATTGATTGAGTCTTTGACTGGCATAATCCTACCCCACAAGATGCTAACACTATCAGCCTTGTTAATCCTTTTTTCACCAATATTACGTGTATATGAAGTAAAAGATCACAAAATAAAACAACAGAAATAAAATGAGTAACATACGACAAAGAAAGAGAAACAGATTCGATCTATTTGGTTCAGTTCAAGTTATTAAATAAACATTTATTGTGTAATAAGATATATTGCAGACAACTTCTAAATGTATGGCTATATGAATAATTATCTTGGTTATTACAGCATGTTTAAACTTGCTGCTGTATGCAGATATACAGTGACTACATGAAGAGTTTCCGAGAAAACATGTCAGATTTTCTTGCATCTGGGCTTATTGTAGATGTTGAAGTTGGACTTGGCCCAGCAGGAGAGCTCAGGTACCCCTCTTATCCAGAAAGTCAAGGATGGAAATTTCCTGGTATTGGAGAATTTCAGGTGAGTCCGCCCTCAGATTTCAAGCAAAATAGTTTCAGACCCAAACTGGGATTTTAGCACTTGAAAACATCATCATAAATATGAAATTCTGCAGTGCTATGACAAATATTTGAAGGCAGATTTTAAAGCAGCTGCAGCAACGGCTGGCCATCCTGAATGGGATCTGCCAGATGATGCAGGGAAGTATAACGACGTACCAGAATCTACTGGGTTCTTCAAATCAAATGGCACATATGTCACTGAGAAAGGGAAGTTCTTCTTAACTTGGTATTCTACCAAATTGCTGAATCATGGAGATGAAATTCTAGAACAAGCCAACAAAGCTTTCCTGGGCTGTAAAGTCAACTTAGCGATCAAAGTAAATTTCATAACACCTCAATTAACAGTCCACAACATTTTCTGCCAAATAATTATTAACCGCTACGCGGTAACAGGTATCTGGAATCCACTGGTGGTACAAAGTTGAAAATCATGCTGCTGAGCTTACTGCTGGATATTACAATCTTCATGATAGAGATGGATACCGTCCCATTGCAAGAATGCTGTCTCGTCATCATGCCATCCTTAACTTTACATGTCTTGAGATGAAGGACTCAGAACAAAGCGCTGATGCCAAAAGTGGACCACAGGAACTTGTCCAGCAGGTAATTCATTACATTTTTCGTTAGTTTCATGTTTGCTCTTCTTGTTAAAGATGATGCCTGGCCAAGTGTAATTTCTGTATTGTAGTGGTTAAATTGCCAAACATGAATACATGCACAGGTCTTTAGTGGAGGTTGGAAAGAAAATATCCAAGTTGCTGGAGAAAATGCACTTCCAAGGTATGATGCCACTGCTTACAACCAGATCATACTGAATGCAAGGCCACAAGGTGTCAACAAAAATGGCCCTCCAAAACTAAAGATGATCGGATTCACGTACCTTCGTCTTTCAGATGACCTACTACAACAATCAAATTTTGCTATATTCAAAAAATTTGTGCTGAAGCTTCATGCAGATCAGGTGAGAAGCTGTTATGCATGCACTTAAAAGATAATACTTTTGAAATTTCTTCAGTTTCATAATTACCATACTGCCAGCTAATCCTCTCCCATCAAATTGCAGGATTACTGTGCAGACCCTCAAAAGTACAATCAGGCCATAACACCATTGAAGCCACCAGAACCAAAGATTCCCATTGAGGTTCTTCTTGAAGCAACTAAACCAACAGCCCCGTTCCCCTGGCTTTCAGAGACAGACATGAAAGTTGATGGTTGATTTGCCAATTTGACGTGAGGAGTAATTAAAAAAATCTGCTGGAAATAATATCTACTGTTCAGATATAAATAAATCACCCAGTCCCCCACGTCTGCGATGCTAATAATAATGCAATAATGTTGCAATGTCTAAACATCTAGATATTGCTCGGGTGTACTTTTATGTGTGCTTTCCTATCCACGAGTTTAATAAATTATGTTATCAAACTTCCATCTACTCTGATTATCACAACATGAACATCCATAGTGCTGTATGAAGTGAAAACAAATTCTTAATATTTTTAATATTATATGGCTCAAATGACTGTAAAATATATAAACCTTGAGTAGGGGAGAAACCCAATCACACGTCAGCTTTCAAAGACATAGTTTTAGAAATAATGAAATGCCTAACATATGATATGAGGAGAATGAACAAGTTAGAAAACATGAATAATTAACCTTTTTGAGACATATCTAACTAAAGGAAAGCCAAAATTTATTACACATAATAGCAATGCTTCTTGGGCATACTTAAGCTACAATTCATGTTAAGTTTTATGACATTTGGGCTTATAATATAACAATTATTCCATTGCTAAGTATTTAAACTCTAAAAGACATTATTTTCTTAAATTCCCTGTCTTTCTCAAGTTTTTTTTTTCTCTAAAAACTAAAATCATATTGCAAGTTAACATAAAACCTTCATATTCATTTTCAGAACACAATTCAGTATTTTCCAGGTATGGGGACAAAATGATTTTTACCTGCAAGATCATTGAAGTGTAGCCGGCATGATTTACTCATGTTCAATGGCAATTCATTATTTCCGCTTATCTCATACATGGATGAATTTCTTAGCTGCATTTTGGTCCAGTGTTTCATCGTTTTATTTCAATTCTCTATTCGCTCCATCCATTAACCCTATAACATTCTTCTTATTTATCTCCTCCATTCCAACACGTCTCTTGTATTCTAAATCCTTCCAATCTTTGGTCTTTTCATCTCAATTGTTACCATAATAAGGTACTAAGGATGCATTCGGTTTGTGAAAAAATTTCCTATTTTCATTTTCTGTTTCACAAATAGTTAGAAAAACGTCACCTTATTTCACTTTGTTATCTGTTAAAATAGAATGGCGCATAAAAAGGAAAATAAGTTCACATGGAAAAACAATATAACAAGTATTAGAGAAATTACTTGGTAGTGGCTACTATGATGCAAGAGAAGAACATCTAGAAAATGATATAGTAAATGAATCTATATTTATCCATCTATTTGAGCACAAGACAAAGTGGCTGGTATGTTAAGGCAGGGTGTCTGGTTGAATGAGAGTTTGGCAAGCTTGGTACAGCAGCCAGGAAGGACCTGACTTCTTGTGTATAGGTATGGATAAGTTGGGGCTTCTCGTATATAATGTGAAATATTCCATCCAACAAAAGAATTGCATTCTCCTTATTTTGAATTCTATCTACTACTTCATCAGACTTCCATAAACTCACCAATATCCACCACATGAGCATAAGCCATCTCTAAAATGATGAAACCTATAAATATCTCGCATGATAATCTCCCGACTCGTGATCTTAGAAATCATTTTTATTACTGTGTGGCAATCGCCACACACACGAAGATTCTTGGTTATTCTGATTGTGGTTCCTGGACAAGTATTAATAAGTGCAAAAGCAAGTGCCAATCTCTCGCTATGATCCCACAGCATCCTCTCCTTTATTTCTTCCTCAACATCATAGAGAACTGAACTAGTGTCGGGCTTGTACCCAGCTTTCTTGAGCTGCTCATTCAAATCTTTCAATTTTGCATAAATATTGTCGGACTGTTGATGGGTTGTATCTCCAACAAAAAATTGATGAACAGACTTATTTAACTCGACAAAGCTGAAACTAGGTGGTTTCCTCAATCTCTTTTTTTTCACCAATTCCCTAACCTTTTCAACGTCCTTCCACTGTCTCTCAGCAGCATAGATGTTGGAAAGGCAAACATAGCCACTCACTCCATTAGGATTCATTTCAAAAAGCTTCTGAGCTGAGATCTCTGCTAACTTGACATTCCTATGTAATCTGCAAGCAGAAAGAAGAGCAGTCCATACATCTTCATTAGGTTTCCATTTCATATTTTCTATAACTGCATATGCCTCATCTATGTACCCTGCTCTGCCAAGTAGATCCACTAAACATGAATAATGAGTGGGTCCAGGCTCCACATTATAGTCTCTGGTCATACTATAGAAAATTTGTTTACCCTCATCCACTAATCCAGAATGACTACAAGCCGATAAAACTGAAGTGAAAATGCCCTCATCTGGAGCAATATTTTTATCTAGCATTTCATAAAATATGGTGATGGCCTCTCTTCCCCTCCCATGAATTCCAAATCCTGTAACCATTACTGTCCATGAAGCCAATTGTTTTTCGGGCATCTCGTAAAAAGCACAACGGGCAGAAAATAAACTTCCACAGTTTGCATACATGCTAATAAGGGCAGTTCCCACAGCAGTATTCACTCCATAACCCTTTTTAACAACATATGAGTGAACAGATGAACCCAATAGCAAGGCTGAGATTTGATTACAAGCTCCAAGCATAGAAATCACACTCACTTCATCAGGAATTGCACCTCCTATAATCATTTGACTAAAAAGTTCAAGAACTTTAAAAGCATCCCCACGCTTTGCATAGCCAGAAATCAAAGAATTCCAGGACACGGTATCCTTCACTTTCAAATTTTGAAATAACGTCTTCGCACCAGACAAGGTATCACATTTGCAGTACATGTCAATCAGAGAATTCATCAGAAACTCATTACACACTTTACCACTATTCCTAACAACATATCCATGAACCACTTTTCCCATCCTTAAATCCATAAGATCACCACAAGCACAGAGAAGGGCAAGCAAGGTGGTCCCATCTCCAACAACACCAGCCCTTCTCATGCGACCAAAAACTGCAAAAGCATCCCTTGCCTCACCATTCTTCACATGCCCCGAAATTACAGTGTTCCAAGAAGTTAAATCCCTCACAGGCATTTTATCAAACAGCAACTTCGCAGTTGCCATGTCACCAAACTTGGAATACATCGAAAGCATTGAATTACTCACATAAATATCCAACCCCAACCCACCAACCAGCACCAAAGCATGAACCTTTCTACCAATTTCCCGAACCAAAAGGTCACCACAAGCCTTTAGAACAAAAGGGTAGGTGAAATTATCAGGCTTTTGTCCAAAACTGAACATTTCACGGTACAAAAAAAGGGACTCTGAAGGACACCCATTACAAGCATAGCCCCTGATCATGAAATTCCATAAAAATGAACTCTTTAAGATTATTTGGTCGAAGATGAGTTGGGCCTGAGGCATGTGGCCGCAAGAAGCGTAGCAAGCAGAGAGCTTGGTGGCAAGGTAGGTGTTGTGGAGGAGTGTGCCGCAGGTGGTGACGTGGGCATGGAGTTGTTGTGTTTGTGTGAAGGATTTTGAGTTGGCGAGTGATTGCAGCAAGGTTCCACATTGTAGGGAAGAGAGAGGAAATGGAAGTAGAAGAGTGGTGGGGTAAGAAGGTTTGGAAAGAAGGGTTGTTGTCTTGAGTTTTAGAGCGACACTCACGGTCTCTTTCATGAATCATGAAAGAGCAGGAGGGCAAACACAACCTTAGTAGAACAAGTACCAGGAGTGAAATAAAAATGTTGTTTAAAGAAAATGAAAACATAAAAGTGGAGATGCGGGGTATCGATCCCCGTACCTCTCGCATGCTAAGCGAGCGCTCTACCATCTGAGCTACATCCCCATGATATTTACCAATGGAACATTATTCTACTCTACATTTCTGAAATTTTAACAAAATATTACTTAGTGTGTCTGATTAATGAGAATATAGGATAAATGCACAAAGTATGAATGTAAAATTAAGAAAAAATAATTAAGTGAAAATGAGAAGTCAATTAATTATTTGTGTGTGTAGGTATGAAAGTTTGGTTAGAATTGGATCTTTTAAAAAGCAGATCTGAAATTTAATGTAATCTAATAAAATTGTTTGATTTTACAATGTTTTAATTTTCATTTAAATTCAAATGTTCTGTAGTTTAATATATCATATGAATACTTCTATTTTTAAGAAAGTGAAATAATAGTCAAACATATTTTAAATATCTTTTAGAAAAATCTATTTTTGAAAATTTTATTTCTTGCAAAAGAATTTAGTTGAAAATTAAAAATTTCCGACACCAAACATCACCTAGGTTGTTATGAGTTTAGAAAGAAGAAAAAATTAGGAGTCAAGAAAGGCATATAAATATGGAGTAATAACTAATAAGGCATAAGAAAATAATTATATCCAGTGAGATAGATTCTATTTTGAGTTTTTGTTACGCAACTAAAAAGCTTAGGATTTTTCATTAATCTAGATTTTCTCCCTCTATATCTCAGCCGTTTATTTCATGTGCCCAATACTCGGAACACTCTTCTTCCCCGAGTTCTAGAATTTTGTCCCAAAAATTAAGTTAAAGTGGTTTATACAGATTCTTTCATTGATGTATCATCGATATCTTCTTGTTCTAAATGCTCCCCTAAACGTGAGAACTGCCTACACATAACATAAACATATAATAAATATATTCGAGAATGGGGCTGAAATTAATTTATAGTTGTCACAGTTGTTGCCATACCTGTCAATTGTTAAACATGCTTAAAATACGATCATATGTATTCCTAGTTTTCAGGAATTAATATTCCAAACAATAAATTTGCTACTCACAAAATGAGACAAATTTCTACTACTTCAAAAAATAAAATAAAATTTGACGCCTAAATTATTCTTGTAAATAAATAACCTGAATTGACAGAGTCGAGACGATTCTTCGAAAAAAAAAATCCCTAAAGTAATTAATTCCTCAAAGCAATTGCATAATAATAAACGAAAAACTCATTTTGAAAAAATAAAAAGATATTATTTCCATTCATGACGATGGCAAGTCAAGTTTTATGATTCAAATCAGTTTATGTTGACGTTTTAATTAAATAACTACGTGAATGACCATCTCTCTTTGGGTGAAATTAGTTGGACGCATGTTTTCAACTCTTAAAATAATAATCGATAATGTGTTATTGATATTTGATATTTTAAAACATAATTTCCCCCTATAGTTTAGAGAGAGAAAATTAGATAGCAAGGGAAAAAAAAATATCTGTACATAGAATAACTAATAATAAATGTAAATTATCTTCTATTTTCCCCCACAATACACATTTTGCCCATCTAACAATTGTTCTTTCATATTACAATTTACAAGTCTCAATACAAAAAGTTAATGTAAAATCATTAATTGAACCGGATTTAAATTAATAACAAACAAAAGTACATTGATCATAGCTGGGGCAATATCGTGTAATTATATAAAGTCGTGGTGATTGACAATAAATAAGGAAAGTAGAAGGGTAATATAATGAGAAACAAATTAGTGTGGTGGAAGCATCTAAAAAAGTAAAAACATAAATGTTGGAGGGTACGAAAGAAAAAGAAGCATCCGATACATGACATCATGGGTGTCCCACATTGTTCTCCCCACGTCCCTTTTAGGACTTTCAATGCATCGTTGTCTTTCTCTCTCTCCTCTGACGCCCCCTCCCACCCAGCACAGGAAAGAAGCTTTCGAATGATCAAAATTCTCAGCGACACAAATTCTTGCATTGGTATTCCAATTCAATAATATTTCAACGGAACAAAAAATCAACATATCAAGCTCAAATTTTAAACGTATATTCAACCCCCCCGTTTCGTTAATTTTACCTTTGCATGAATTGGGTTCTGCTCTCACGTACGTAACGTTCATTTGATTGGTTCTTTGCCAACGTTGCATTGTATACATATCTTATCAATATCAATCCATTGTTCTGCTTCATCAAATTTTCACATGTTCTGATTCTCTCTCAATATATTGCCACATTAAATCCAACCCGATTCTTGAGTTTCTAAGATCCTGTGGAATTTCCAATCTTCGTGGGTTTGTGGAAATATTGAGCGATCTGCGAAGTTTGGATAATAATATTGGAAGATAAAAGCTCTGAGAAGGTGCAGAGTCTGAGCTTCGTGTCTCTTTTTTTTTGTGGTTGGGTTTATAATTAAGTTAGAGACTTGAAAGGAATTTTCATGTTCAATGAGAGATGAAAAATTGCGTTTGGGTTGGTGAAGTTGAAAGCAATGGAATTGACAAGACCCAGTTATGCGGTTGCTTATGTCATTCTCCTTTGTGCGTTGGCCCAAGGGGGCTCAGAGGGGAAGAGGGGGAAGGAAGAGGAGATTTTTAGAGATGGTGGGGCTTTGTCATCATCCATTTATGTACATGGAATTCAGGTATAAGAATTCTATCATTTTGTCTTTTCTTTGGAATTTCTCAGCTGGTTTTTTGTTTGTTCATGATCATGCTCAGTTTCTTCTTTCAATTCTCAATAATCTCTTACCAAAATTGTGGTTTTTAATTTGACTCTCATATTCTTCTGTTTGGTTTGATATATAGTGATTGGCTAATTAATTCCCAACCAAGTCTTTGGTGGGTAATTTTGTGTTTTTTGTTACCTGTTTGTATGTCAAATACAAGGTCTAGGATCACTTAATTCTGAATTTTGTTAAATCTGCTTTAATTTACCATTTAATATGTTATTATTGCTGAAGCATATTTATAGAGAATTTGCGTCTATTTATCTTTTCAAAGAAGGAACTCATAACAAATTACACACTGATCAGGTTCAATAACTTCAAAATCCTTTCATTTTTATTGCATGGCTAAACAGTAGTGTCATACTATCATACAAGAAGGATCTCTGCATCTTCTTTTTTTTTTTGGAGAAAAATATGCATATATGTTTCTATGTAGCTAAAGTCTAAAGAATTGTAAAAATAACGATAGTGTTTGCACTCTTTTACTTTAATACGAAAACTAAATATGTAAGATGATACAATCATATATAAAACAAAGGTCTTGTCTTTGTTGTTGATACATTGATTAAAAAGGACCGTGCCTCTACCTGTTGCCCCCACATTTTGATCAAGCGTGACACTGACAGTGAAAAATTTCAAGTGATGAAACTATATATGGCTTTGTAAATTATATAACTAGACTATTAAAATTATGGAACATGTATTTAATATTTTCATTGCACTGAATGGTGCTTTTATATCATTTGGTTGATACAGGTAGAAAATGCGTGGAAACATTGCAGGAAAGAATTGATAGAGAGAAACAATGATGTCAAAGATTTTGACTTCCATTCACTGGAAGGGAGCAGTGACATGAGGTCTATTCTTTCAATACAAAATAGCATATACCAAGCAACTAAGTCTCTCCCTCCCGTCATGAAAAATAAATTTTTGGACTGCATAAAAACAGGAACAACTCCTTCTGCTCCTGTTTCTAAAGAAAAGGGTAGCTCTAGATATTTGTTAACAAAGCATTCTAGATCAACCTTAGGTGTGCAAAGTGGTCATGGAAGAAATTTGATTGCTGATTCACCAAGCCCTTCTGCTACTCCAAGTCATAATCCAACATCACCAACTCCTAGTCCACAAGCTAGGGATATACCACTCCCTCCAGATATGTTTGTACCATTTCCACCACCATCACGTGTACCACGTCCTCGTCCTCATCCTCCTCAAAATTTTCGACCTATAATATATGCTCCTATTTCTTCACCACCTAGCAATGATGCCAAAAAGCAACATAAAGTTCTCATAGGTTGCATTATATCAGCAGTTATAATATTGATAGGCTTGGCTCTCTGCTATCGTGAGGTCAGAAAAACCAAAGTTGACAAAGATGACAGGCCTTTGCTTGTATTAACCTCAAGTGATTATTCTGGTGGTATGCTTATGTGTTCTGCTCTCTACTTCAATTATTTATTTATCATCAACTTTTCTGAACTCTATCACACGTAATAAGAACTCAATAAATAGTAATTTTCTATTGAAAATTATAATATTTAATAGTATCAATGCATTAAATTCTATAATTTTCAATGAAAATTTATTATATACAAATTCATATTATAAGCAATTTTTCACAGAATAATAGAAAAATTTATTTATAATATATAACACTTAAAAAGACAAAACTCTTGAGTAACTGCATCAATTTCTTGAACTTAAATCTTTTAGCCACATCAAAAAATATTTCTTGAACTTATATCTTTTAGCCGCGTCAAAAATATTTCTTGAACTTATATTTTATAGACACATCAAAAAATACTCAGCATTCTTACTTCCAACTCTCTTATTTTTCCTTTACATTTAACTTACAAATAATCAATGAATTCTCATGCTTTCTTTATTGTTTTTAGCATCAATGATTTCTTAAACTACTACAAGTTTCAATATATTATTCTTCTATAAGATACACTTCTAATAAATAATCAATTCCTCTTAAAATGTTCAATCATCTCTGGGCATATGATTGTAAAACATTACACAATTTACACTTGGTCCTTCAATCTATGCTTCAATGTAATTTTTTTTTCTTCAGGTTCACAGAAGATTGTTCGTTTGGGAGATGATGACAAGGAAGAATCTTGCATTGACAATGAAAAGAAACTTTCTAATGTTACAAACTTATCCACTAAGGATGGAGATAACAATGCTTCACAGGTTGAGACAAAACCATCAGAAGGTACAGGACAAGTACCAGCCCCTCCTAGTGGAAAACCAGCCCCTTCACCTCCTAGCGGAAAATCAGCCCCTCCACCTCCTGGACCGCCGCCGCCGCCTGCTGCTCCACGACCACCACCACCTCCAAGAGCTGCTCCTCCACCTGCTCCTCCCAAACCAATGGGAGGTAGAAATCAAGGACCACTTCGAGCTAAAGAAGGAAGTTCTAGTCAGAGTGATGCTACAAAACCAAAACTAAAGCCATTTTTCTGGGATAAGGTTTCTGCAACACCTGATCAATCAATGGTGTGGCATGAAATCAATGCAGGGTCATTTGTGTAAGAATATTAACTCTTGGAAAAGATGAAACTTTCATTGAATTAGCAAAGTAAAACAAATATAACAATGAGATTGCTTTCACTAATTTATGTCTATGACAACTTAATTACCAGAATCAATGAGGAAATGATGGAGTCTTTGTTTGGATGCACCAATCAGAACAGAAATCAACGCAAGAAGGATTCATCTTTAGATAATACAGTGCAGTACATTAAGATTATTGACCCTAAGAAAGCACAGAACTTATCAATTCTTTTGCGAGCTCTGAATGTGACAACAGACGAAGTTGTTGATGCTCTGATAGAAGGTAATTCTCTTTCTCTCTCTCTCTTGGATGTAAGGGAACGGCCATTAGTTTCTACTGAAATTTTTAGCCTCCTTCATAATCCATATTCGGATTTCTAATTTTTAGCCTGTTTACATTGGCAGAAAAATCACTCAAATAAGTATCCATTTGTTACGACCTATAATTTTTATGTTAAAATGCGATAAAAAAAAAGATAAACTTTACATGAAATTTTTTAACTAATATACATGTTTAAATAATAAATTTATTTAATAATAAATTATTATATTTATTATATTTAAATAAATTAAAAAATATTTAAGTCTTTAAATAGAATTAAGACACAATTGAAGTTAAACAAATTAAAATTGAAAAATAAATAATAATATTATATTATAATTCTTTTTATTTATAATAAATAAAAATTACTTAAATATGAATTATATTTTATTTAAAATTAAAAAATTATAAAAAATGTAAAAAAAGTAAAATAAAAAATTTAATATACAATATATATATATATATAAAATAGAAATATGTAGTAAATAATATAAATAATATAATTTTAAATAAATTATATAATAATATTTTTAAAACTTGTCACGTATCTTTTTTTATTGGTATAAATTTTTTTGGTAAAGTATCCATTAAAATTTTTTTAGAGTACTACAGCACATAACTAAAAAAAATTATTTTATGAATTTTTAATATGCACTTATTAATTTTCTTGACATAAAGTTGATATTTCTCTAGTTTTAAGAAAGGTCTTATGTCACTGTAAGGACGCTAAGTATTGTTTATTAATTATTAACATTATATGCTTTCAATTTGACATAATGCATGTTCTATGGTTTTTCATTTATATACTTCAGGAAGTGATATAATTTTACTGTGCTAATGGTTTGTTGAATGTGCTAGGACTCACATATTGAAGTTAGATTTGAAAGGGTCCTTCCTTTCATTATAATTTGCTTCATTAGTTTTAGTATTAAAAAATGTTAACTTCAGTCATATAAGGCCTGAGGATAGATAATAACTAAAAGTAATAAATGATAATATTTTACTAAAAATATATTTATTATCTTCAGAGTATAACAGTATAATAACTTTTATACTTTATAATAAAAAAATATTACCTTTATGATTAAATTCTGCATTAAAGATTAAGATTAATAAAATCATTAAAAAGACATCAAAAACGTTTTACATGTTACAGAAATTATCCAAGATTAATATATATTTGCATTTCACAGCATGAACTACAATATGTTGATTGAATCAGGTAATGAGCTTCCTGCGGAGCTCACCCAGACGTTGTTGAAGATGGCACCTACGGCAGAAGAGGAACTGAAGCTTAGGTTGTTTACTGGAGAACTGTCGGAACTAGGCCCAGCAGAGAGGTTCCTCAAAGTGTTGGTTGACATTCCATTCGCTTTCAAACGTCTTGAATGTTTGATGTTCATGTTTATCCTTCAAGACGAGTTCTCAAGCATTAAAGATTCCTTTGCAACATTAGAGGTGAGACTGAGGTTATTGAATTCATTGAACTAGAGCGAAATGGGATGATTTTAATTTTCGTTGTTTGAATTCTTAAAACAATAATAGAATGAAATAGGACATCACGTATTGCATTTGTTTTCATTTAATATCTCCTTTTTCTTACCTTCTGGCCTCTAATTACGGTATTGTATGAAATGGCACTGTTTTTATTAACATTTTATTATGAAAATATTTAAACTATTAAATGATAATTTTAATTCATTTATTTCATTTCATTCTAATTCATTTTTAGACACTTATCATTAATGACAAAACTAAAAAATCGTTTAAAATAGAGTGACCAAATAAAAAGGACACCATTAAAGAATAAATTAAATTAAAATATTTAAATTTTTCTATAAAATATAGAAAATTAAAAATTTAGGAAGCAAAATCCCCCGTAAAGATATTAACTTTGCTCCTTTTTATTATTAAATATCTAAATACTACCTTGAGATTCTTAAATTCACCTTGACTCAGTTTTTGTAATCTTATAACTAAATAATGATTATAAGTATACTTAAAGTGTAATTATTATTTTTTGAATACATATTTTGTTACGTTGTATTTATATTTAATTTTTCTTATTTTCTATCATTTATTTTTAGTTTGGTTATCTCTCTTTATTTGCACTCGTATCATAAGTTGCAAGCATTTATAAGACAAGGTTAACAAATTAAGCTCTGCATGCTTATGACTGATGAGTTTTTTGGCAGGTTGCTTGCGATGAGCTCAGAAAAAGTAGGCTATTCTTAAAACTACTTGAAGCAGTTCTGAAAACTGGGAACCGCATGAACGATGGAACCTATCGTGGTGGTGCCCAAGCATTCAGGCTTGACACACTTCTAAAACTTTCAGATGTAAAAGGAACAGATGGAAAAATAACACTCTTACACTTTGTGGTTCAAGAGATCATACGCTCTGAGGGTATAAGAGCTGTTCGAACTGAGAGAGCAAGCAGAAGCATTTCAAGTGTGGGAACAGATGATTCTGATGAAGGTAGTGAAGAATCTATTGAACACTATCGAAGCCTTGGCCTTCAAGTAGTTTCAGGTTTAAGCGCTGAACTTGAAGAGGTGAAAAAAGCAGCACTTATAGATGGTGATGCACTCACTTCTGCAGTGTCAAAACTAGGTTATTCATTTGTAAAGAGTCAAGAGTTTTTGAACACTGACTTGAAAAACATTGATGAAGAAAGTGAGTTCCAACGTTGCATGGAGAAGTTTTTGGAGAAAGCAAAGGAGAATGTGACATGGCTGGTGGAGGAAGAGAAGAGAATAATGGCTTTGGTTAAGAGTACTGCAGATTACTTTCATGGGAATGCAGGGAAAGATGAAGGTTTGCGTTTGTTTTCTATTGTCCGTGATTTCTTGATAATATTGGATAAGGTATGCAAAGAGGTGAAGGACACAACTATGAAGCCAGTGAAGGCTTCTAACAGTAAGAAAGAGGCTACATCAGTGCCATCTTCTCCTGACACACGCCAACAGTCACCACCACCAGCTTCTGACTTACATAGAAGATTGTTTCCTGCAATTGCAGAACGGAGAATGGATTACTCTAGCTCTGATGATGATGATGATGATGATGACGAGTTTTCAACATAGCTTTGCTATTTAGATGTGGTTTGAAATCACCTAGCTCCATTTCATAACTCTTTTTTGTTTCTCTAATTAAAAAATAACAAGAAAATTAAAAGATTTGTCAGCCTTTTTTTGTTGGGTTTGTCTAAGTTACTGGATAAGATAAATAGCTTTATCTTAAGTAGGTTAATGGAATTTTCTTTATAAAAAATTAAAAATAATAATAATATAACTTTTAATATAATGTCTTAACTTTATTAATATACTTAAGATGATAAAATTTATCTTATTTTTGGGTAACCTAGACAAACCCTTCTTTATTGAAGTGTTATCTTTTAATTGGAGGAACAAAAAAGGGAAGATAGGTGATTTGGTTCGATGGTTATTTAACTGCTTTTGAAAACGTGTTGTTCTACTTCATCAGATGGCAAGTGTGGCTGCCTGCAGAGTTAAGGAAACAAAAGCCTAGCTTGGCAAAAAATTTCATGTGTGATATAAGTTGCCTTTGCTTTTGTGAAGGGAAATGTATATTATAATAGCCTATCTGAGTGGACTCCTGATTAATGTTAGTTATCCAATGTCTAGTATGGTGTTCCTTATCAAACTATTGAATTTCTTAACCTTATTTGGAACCCCGGAAACAAAGATTACAAGAACATATGAGGAAGGGGGAGTACAGATATGAATTTCTTGTATGTTTTATTTCTCTACTTATTTGATTGATGTTGTTTTTGTGTGGGGTTGATGTCGGAACTTTGAACATTAATGAGGAAGTGAAATAAATAGTTCATGACATCAAATCACGTCACTGTGCAAATTTCCTTCCATGTTCATTTATTTTAAATTAGCATGTCAACCAAATAAAAATAACAATTGAAAGGGAGAATGTTGTTACTTAAAAGAGAAAACTTTTGGGTGTGATGTGTCAATTTTCAATTGATGAAATGGAAAGAGATGTCTAAGGAATTAAGAGGTTGTTTAGTTTTAAATTTTAAATTTGCTTTTGTTATCAGCAATGTTGCTTTTTTTTTTTCATACCTATGGGATGCAAGCACCTTGGAAAGAAATAATAGAAATTAAAAAAAAAGGAGAGAAAATAGTTAGACATGTGACAAGAAAGAAGGTAGAGTTATGTGTGTAAAACGAGTGTAAAAATTATGATGTAAAAAAGTTAAGATTTTTTTTTTTTTGTTTCTATTAGAAAATTGTAATCATTTCCTAAATTTACTATTGGAATAAAAGGAAAAAAATACAAAATAATTTTTTTTTTCTGCAGACTATGTTTGCTAAAACAGATTAGTACTGAGTTAGTGAATATGAGGAAAGAGTTGTCATCAAGAATATTTTTACGCAAAGAAACATTTAAAATTTTCTTTATTTAGAAAACCAACCCTTTTAAATATGGATCTATTTGAGAATTAATTACGAACAGGGAAGTGGTTAATACCTGTACCTTTCATTTAAAAATGATTATCTTAAATTGATTATATAAATTTAAAATTATTTATATACTTTTTTTAAATAATTAAAAATTTATTACATCATCTTTATGATTATATATATCAAATTTTATATAATTTAATTATTTGTAAGTATATCATTAAAATTTGATGCTTTAAAAATATAATATTCATTTAAATAAAATAATGCATAAAAATTATTAATTTTATTTTTTTGTAGAATTTTATAAAATTGATTTACTTCATAAAAAAATTAAATTAAAAATTAAATGGATTAATTTTGTATTTTATAAAACGTTATTACTATTATATATAAATTAATAATAACTTTTTCTTAATATGTATATATCATAATATAGTACAAGATATATACATATTAAGAAAAAGTTATTTTTTTCAGATATTCTAGTTGTGGATTGAACTCTTCAAAAGCCTTGTACCAATCTTGAAGACTAACATAATAAGTTAGTTGGCTACAACTGCTGTAAGGAGCATTCAACAAAAGTAAGGATACACCCTTTTGGTGATTAGTGAGGAATCAATCAAAGAGAATTACTAAGCATGAAATGTTGCTTTTGCTCATCCTATCAGAGCTTCTTTTGCCAAGCACTCTGCTTCTTGTGGATCCTTTATGTGCCTTATAAGAAAAAGTTATTATTATCACTATTATTATTTATAAATTACTTAAATAAAAAAAATTAATAAGAAACTAGTGCTCACTAAGATGGCCCACATTCAAAAGCCCACAAGTTTCAAATAAACAGTACCCACTAGAAAGAAAGCCTACGTTTTTTTTTTTATTTTCTTTTTTGTTTTTAAGAAAGCCAACGTTGAAACATCAGTTCTTTCCGCTAGCTTAATCGCTAAAGTAGCCCATTTTGGCCCAAAAGAGAACCCAAACTCAATTTTATTCTCAGCATCTTTTACCTTTTTTAAAAAAAAAAGTTATTTCATTAGATTCAAGTAAAATAAAAAATATATTTATTACATTAAATTCATAAAAATATAATAAGTAATTATATTTCACTAAAATTTTACACGTTCCATAAAATTAAAAATACAAAGCATAAAGGCTGTGCCAGGAAGAAGGCAGTGATGATACGGGCATCGATCGTTTGTGCTCTCAATTGTGTTCTGACAGCGTGTTTCCTCCGACGATAGAAATGAGTTGAGTTTAAGAATTATTTAAGTTTCACTTGTTAAATATTTAGTTAAATTTATTTATTTAATTAACTAAATAAACAAGCTTTTATATATATTAACATTTTAACGAATGTAAATTTAAAAATTATTAATCAAATTAAAATTAAAATTTAATTATTTATATATATTTTTTTATAAGTAAAATTTTAGCTTTAAATATTCGATCTAATTCAACTCATTTATACTTTTAGTGAGTTCTACTTCTGCTTGTAACTCTATTTTTTCTCTCTATTTTTTTTTTTATCTCCATGTAATGTCTTATTTTTTAAAAGTTGCTTAAATTTTATTTTATTATTTTTTATGAGTCCTATAAAAGATCACTTCTTTTTATTTTGCTACTTAAGTAGCTCTTGACTCTAATCATACAAATAGTTAAGCGCCTCTTGTTAGACGCGGTAAGTCACTCCGCTTCCTCACTTTCAGGCGCAAATTGTGTGCTGGAAGCGGTGCAGGTCACCATTTTTTTTTCTGATTTTTTTTATTTCAGTTCTTTTATTTTACATTTGATTGGATTAAAAAGAGAAAAATTAAAAATAAATTACAATAAATAAACACGGTACTAACTTAAAATAATATTCGCAAAATGACAATAAATTAAGTATCCGCAAAAATAACATAAAAGCAAAAGTTAAAAAGATTTACATTGCTAGCTTCAATGAAAAAAAAAAAAAGAAAAAGAAAAGTAAAAGACCCCTATACATATTCCTCCTAGCTGGATAGGGTAGTTTGGTCTTCTGAAAACTAATCCCATTTGTTGCCCTTTTTCAGCACAAGAAGCATGAAAGTCTTCTCGCAAAGCCACATTTTTTTAAAAACTCCAAAAGCACTAAAGCAGATACCTTACTCATTAATCCATAGGAGCAGTGGCAGAAACGTAATATGCAATACAGAATAGGCCATGAACAAAGCAACAAATCCCACCAATGGAAAGAAAGTGATGGTGTGAGAAACCACAGGAACCATCTGACCTATTGTTTGACATGGTCCCTATCACCAGCATGGACAATCCAATGGCCAACACCACCCTGATCAACAATAACACAATCAAAAGAAGAAAAGAAAAACAATAGGTTATATATTCAGAGTGCATTTAGATGCATAATTTATTTAATTATTTTTTAAATATTTTTTTATATGATGACTTATGCGATAAAATTTATTAAAATAAAAAAAATAACTTATGAAAATTATAAGCTATTTTTTATAAACAATTTCAAACTTATAGTAGAGAGAAAGATATCACACTACCAAGTTAAAATAAGGCAAGCCACTGAGAGTTGCTTATTGGGGGGAGCCTTATCAAACTCTTGTTGAGAACAAATGCAAGTGCAGCCACCTAGCAAATTGGCTATAGCATGGGCTAGTCCCAAAAGCACTGCTGCAGCCAACCCCAACATGAAGGCTTGATGACTTGGCTCTTTACACTCAAATATCCACAATCTTAAGTGCTTAACCTGTTTGTTAAGAATAATTATTGGAGCTTAACATAGAAGTCACATAATGAAAGTTGTCCTTATACACATATCTTAAATGCACTTCAAAAGTAGTTAACTTTAAGCATACCTTATTTTGTGCTACTTCAGCCTCGAAGCCAAGAATCCCAGCTGCAACATCCATGATTAATATCAGGACACACAGAAAAATGCCCACTACTCTAGCCATTTGTTGGAGAAGTGCTCTTCTTCTGGTTCTGGCTTTCTTGTTACTAAGTTTAAGATCAGAAGAATGGGAAAATAGATGTAGTGGGGGTATTTATATTATGTAGTTATAATATAAAGATTAAAAGAGAAAGTGTACAGAATGAGATTGGAAGGAGGTGGGTTAAATGAGTAAAAGCTCCTTTTGTCCCCACTGTGCAAACTTTCAATTTGCTTTATTGTATACTTTCTCTTCTTTTTCTTCACTCTTGGATTCTTTAGACGGAGATGCTAGTAAAGCATAGTAGAAACCAGCTCATACTTGGCTATAGGCATTTACTTAAATGTGAATTGGTGTGTGAGTTTCTTGACTTGTTTGAATCACACAAATCGAAAAGCATTTGATTTAATTTGAGTTATAAAACAATCAACATTTGACGACTAGAAGGATTAGTTGCTGTGAAGGTACTTTCTCAAAAATCAAATAATTATATTATAAGTTAATTGTCTATTCAAACAATGAAAGTTACAGTAAAATTAACTGCATTCATAACTAATTAAATAGAAGTAGATTTCTCAATATATACATAATAATTTAAAAATAAAATCAAATTGATTCTTATTTTAGACATTTCAAACAACAATAAAATTTTATGTTAAATAAAGTCATTTACATAAATCATATGATATTATTAGTTTCAATTAAAATTTACATTTAAAGAAATTAATTATTTATTATGATATCCCATTAATAATTTCTTTAAAGTATTTTTATTCTCTATTCTTTTATAGAAAATTAAAGACCACACATTCATCTTAACATTCTTAATTTTACTATTCTTGTTTAATACCTGTCACTTAAACTGAATTATTTGTTATAATTAGTGATTTCCAAATTATAAGCCTACACAGTATGTAGATAAATCATTTATTTCTACAAATATAATCACAAAATTTGATCAATTCTAATCCTAATCTAACACATTACATGAGGAAGGGTTTTAACTATCATGCTACATGATAAGTTACATCATTATATGCATTTTTTTTATTTTTCATTAAACTGGTTTCTTTCATTATTTTTTAAATATGTTATTTATTTTTCCATTTTTCATATTTTACCAAAACGGATCTATGTATCCTAATTAATATAAATACTAAGCAACTATTTTAAATGTTATCGAGTTTAAATATATTCAAGCATTGATATATTCTATAATAGAGAACATCATATCAGGAAAAATATAGTTGTAAATATTATTGTTGTTGTTTTGTATTATAAAAAATTAAATATATAATTTAAAAAGATAATAATAAAATATAATTAATGTTAACAATACTTATTGTGTTTAATTTTAGTGCAAATATTTTTACACTGTCAATCAATTAAAATATACTATGCATATAATTTTTATATTAATTATTACAAATATAACAACATTTTATTGGGTGACACTGTAAAAAAACTTTTATACTATAAGTATATTTAAATTAAATTTATACTTATATAAATATGTTATATAATAATTTTATAAATAAAATATTATAATCATAAAATATAATTTAAATTTTATTTTTATATATACATAAATATTTGTTAATATTCATTATATTCTTTATTATATATTTAATAATTGATGTATTTATTATTGAAATTTAGATAAAGAGAAGTTATTAATCAAATAATGATTAAACTATAGTTTTACTTATTTAGATACAATGAATACAATTTATTTTTAGCAGGTTTAAATAAGACAAATTATACTAATAGACACCTGTCTTGACATAATTAATTCAATTAACTAATTTTAAAAAGTATGCATATCTATTCAGTTAACTGATATTATGGTAAAATAATTATGCACTCAATAATTTTACACAAACATAAAATTATTTTATTAACAAATTAGATTACTGCGGTAATAAAATTCAATAACTCCACTAGCAAAAAAAAAGTTCAATAACTCCATCAATAATACGGATTCAAATTTTTTTAAAAAAAGTACTATTAAAAGTTATTAATTTTTTTACATGAATTAAAAAAATCTCTATTATTTTTTTTCCCCAATCGTACGTCTCCTTAATTAGTCCAATGCTCCAAGAATATTGAGAACACCTGTACCTAAAACAAGATAAATTATAGACCATGCATATATAAAATAATAGACACGATATCTCATGTTATAAAAAGATAAAAAAAAATGAATTTAAATCTATGATGTAAAAAGATTTAGTATGGTATGAAAGAGAAAATAAATTGTTTTTTTTTTTCGAAACAGATATCAGCTAAAACGACAATTTTTGTCGTTGGATTGGTGTTGAGTTAGTGATGAGGAAGCATGCATGCATGAAGTATAAATAAAACAAAGTAACTCAAAAGCAGACTTAAAAAAGATCTACAATGCTTGCTCCAATTAAAAAAAAAGAGAAAAAGAAACAGATCCACGTATAAGTAGCATATTTAACTTGAAATTTGTGGTGACCAAAATTTTTTGCCAAAAATTGTGACACTAAATAAAAACAACTTGAACTATGGTAGAGATACATCATAACATTCATATGGAGAGGGTAATTTGGTCGTTTAAAAAATGATAATGTTCTTCTTTTTTATCGTATAAGAAGCAGGGAAGTCTCTGACACATTTTGCAAATCAATATTTTAGAAAAAGGTCCAAAAATACTATAGAAGAAATGAGTGAATTTCAAGTATATATCTTACTCGAACCAGTAGCAGAAAGTAAGTAATACACAATACAGAACGGGCCATGCAGAAAACAACAAATCCCACCAATGAACAGCAAGCGATTTTTTGAAAAAGCACAGGAACCATTTGACCTGTTGTTTGATTTACTCACTGTCAACAGCAAGAATATTCCAATGCCCCACACAATCCTGGAAGACAACATAATCAAAAGGATGAAAGAAAGAAAGAAAAAAAAGGGTATAAATAATTTATTGAAATATCAACGGTAATGATGTTCCTTTGATTTGCAAACTAGCAGTAGAGAAAGAGATACACTACCAAGTTAAGATAAAGCAAGCCAATAAGAATAGCCTAAAAAATAAAAACTTGCGAATGCAATTGTAGAGACCCATCAAATTGGTTACAACATGGGTTAGTCCTAAAAGCAATGCTGCACGCGTCCCCAACACGAAGGCTTGATGGCTTGGCTCACGACACTCAAATATCAATAATCTTAGGCTCCTAACCTGTTTGTTAATTAAGACAAATGTTAGAGTTTATCATAGATTTCACATCATTAATCAAAATTGTCTTTGTATACATATCCTAAATGCACTTTAGAAATAGAGTTAGCTTCAAGCTTACCTTGTTTTGTGCCATTTCACCTTCCAACCCAAGAATTCCAGCTACAACATCCAAGACTAAAATTAGGAGGCACACAATAATACCTACTTTTTTACGCATTTGTGGCCAAAATGCTCTTCTATCTGTTCTAACTTGCTTGTTAGTAAATTTTAGACAGAGTATACACTGGAGAAATAGATGTAGTGAGAATATATGTACTGTATAATTACTATAGATAAATATTAAAATAAAAGTGATGATATATTGAAATTGGGGGAAGGCAGGATAACTGAGTAAAGGAAAATATTTTATGAATAACTAAAATTGATAGCCAAAAGTTGTTTTTAATTTGCAAAATATTTATGAAATTTGTGTATATTTAAAAAAAAAATTAGGAGAAAAATAAAAAATATTATATATAATAATACCTATAATATGAATTTGGAGAATATTTATAAGATTTGTGTACATTGCAAAAATATAAATCAGGAGAAAAATAAAATTGATATAATAATAATAATAATAATAATTGAACATTATTTTATATCATTTGCATTATAAATTAGTCAACATTTGACGATTAGAAGGGTAAGTTGCTGAAAAGACACTTTTTTCAAAACCAACTAGTTATGTAATAATTTAATTGTGTAGTTAAAAATTTATTGTTAAAAAGTGTACATATACATTAGTGAAATCAAGTTTTAAATTTGCAAAACCTTCAAATGATCAATGAATTTTATCTGGTTTTAATAATTTATTTCTTATCCTTAAGAAAACTAAATTGAATATTAAATAATAAAAGAAAGTTAAAACCAAAAAGCAAAAATAAAATCAAATTAGTTACACAGAATAATTTGAAAAATAAAACCAATTCCTGTTTAAAAACGTTTCAATCAAAGAATTTTATTTATACACTGAATTATTTGCTAAATTTAGTGTTTTCCTAATTCCAAACATACACTGTGAAGGCGTAATCACGTATTTCTAAAAATATAGTCTCAAAAATAGTATCCTTCTGAAAATAACGATTTAATCAAATCTAATCGTAATCTAGCATATTATATGACGAAGAAGGGTTTTAAATATCAAGCTACATGATATGTTATATCATTATATTCATTTTATTTTTCTATAGCTGCTTTCGTAAGATTTCCTTTTAAATGTGTTTTTATTTAGAAGAGTCCTAATTAATAGAAATACTAAGCAATTAAGATAATAATTATTATCATCATATTAGAACATAACTATAAACCAATTAATTGTTTATTTATTTGGATACAATAAATTCAATTTTATTTTAGAAGTTTATGATACGAATTTATAGCACATACTTGTTTGGATATAATCAATTTAATTAACTAATTATAAACCAAATAAAAGGTATTGATACACCCTTATTTTTTTATAATACACCTAAGTTTTAGTATCGAAATCGGTATCATCAACAAACTAATCATTTTAGTCCTAATTAATGCAACTATTAAGCAATTAATATAATTATTAATATCATATAATTTACATATTTATCAAGCAATCACGTATACATTTACTTATTTTAATTCAATCAATGTAATTTAATTTTAGGAGAATATAAATAAGAAATAATATAACATATACTTATTTGGACATAGTCAATGCAATTAATTTATTTAAGAAAGGTATACAATGCATAAGTATTTGATTAACTAATATTATGGTAAAATATTATTACCCTCAATATTTATTTATTTGTGAAAAACGAGAAGCAATAAGTTCACTGTAGGCTTCTACCAAAAAAAACAAAAAAGAAAGAACACCAAGTATTCTTTGCAAAGATTCACCATCTGCTTAATATTATAGATTACAGTTTAGGGTTTAAAACACAAGAAAATATTCTTGAGGGGTGAGAATAATACTTTAAGAAGGCTAGTAACACACTCTTTAAAATACTTATTAAAATTTATTAAAAATTTAAAAAGTATAAGAGAAAAATATTAATTTAAGAAAAAAAATGAGATTCATATAAATTTTGTAGACTTTAATAAATTCTAATAATAGTAAAATAATATGTTATAAAATACGTGTTAAATAATGTGATTCTAATATTACTCTATTACTTTTAAGAGATAAATAAAGATGATATTGGGCAAGTTGAGATTGTCTCTCTCCCAACAGTTTTTATTATTTTCATTACACTTCACTTCTATTCTTATTGATTTTATAAAACACTTGCCCCATTAAATTTTAAATCTCTCTTAAAAATAAATAATAAATTTTAAATGATAAATTGGATATTTTTTTTGTCAAACTTGGATTAAGATAAAATATTTTTTTTTCTCTTACAACTTTTTCTGCAAAATTTTTTCCAAACTAAATGAATGTAAATAATTGTATATTAATATTTTTACAAGAAGATTTAAAAAACTGAATTACCATACTTATAAAAAAAGAACTATTAAAATTTACATAGGTAAAACTGTGAATGTCATTACACAATATATTATTTCAAACTACTTTTTTAGATTTTTAATTTTTCAGCGACGCTATTTTTGTCAGTGGAGTAAAGTTAACCAACAACGCCTGAAAGTAATAGGCTCAAGCATAAAAAGGATGAGATGATCAAGCCCAATAACTATTCAAGTTCTTCGACGCTACAAAAGCTACAAAGCCCAATTCACCAAAACAAACATTACCCAAGCCTGGGATGATCTAAATTCTAATGTTACAGACTAGGCCGATATGCTTGACCCAGAAAAGACTGGGCCGAAATGGAAGTGCAATAAGTGCATCAAGTCTTGTACAAATCACCATCACCATCACCATTTTTTACCAAAAAATGATAGTTGCCAGAGGACAATGTTTGTAATTGTTATATACCAAAAAGAGTGAAAACATCATCAGTCAAATAATAGAAAAAGTCTGGAGAAGTTAGAAAAATATCCCATAGAATAACAAAATAAAAAAGTTACTTTTCTCTTCCATTTTGCAATGAAATGACTACTAGGAAACGGCTTTGCTTGATGGGAGTGGGAGGGTGGGATCTCACATGAAGCGATGGAATTAAAGGAAACAACCTTGGCTATTTGTCACTGCTTGGTGTCCCTAATAAATATACATTATACATGTCTTGTTAACTAATACCTTCAAGTTATTGATTAAGAGATCAATAAATAATTTTAAAATTATGGCAGCGTTTATCCGAGAATATGATAAGAATGCATTAGTAACTTTTATTTTTAACTTGTGATTATTTAACTTGTGCTCTACATGCATTTAATAACACTACCTAATTATATAACATCAAAAGAGCTGGAGTTTTCTTATCATATACTTGATATGTAACTTACAAGGTATGGAAGAGGAGACAAGGAGATTATATTAACATGGTTACGTTACTATCCACAACTTAGTGAAAAAGATGCAAATGGCTTTGCAAGAGGCAATAAGAAGATAGGAAGAATAATATATTCATGACAATTTCAGTAATATCGAAAAAAACATCTTTGGGATCGCATGAAAAGAAGGCAAAAGGATAAATGTGCAAATCTATTGACCTTTTGTATAAGACATAGCAATATATCCGTACACTGTAATAATAATAATAATAATACAAATTCAATGGCAAAACGTAATATCCGATCTGCCGGATTCGAACCAGCGACCTAAGGATATCTATGGTGAACCACTACAGTCCTCCGCTCTACCAACTGAGCTAAGGTCAGTTTGAAAATGGGCTGGCAGCACTAAATTATTCACGTATAGATGACTCATTTGACCAATTAGTAACGCCCAATATTAGAATAACGACAGCTAATAATACTCAACATTATATTTTATTTTTAAAAAAGTACTTTAATAACAGTAATATTATATCTATTTCCACAAATAAAATAAAAAATGCGTAACCAGATATACATACACCATATGATATTAGAATAACGACAGCAACTTTACATATTTGAGCTTCATTTGAATCGATAGCAGATGAAAACTCCCCATATTTAAACCAGGGGACGTTAGAATACACAGTTTAATTAAAAAATTAATAAATTTTTTATATGATAATTTATACCGTAAATTTAACTGCAAAATTTATTAGAAATATTTTATTTTAATAGATTATATTAAAAAATAATCAAAATTAATTAGAAATTAATAATAAAAATCCTAATTTTACGTTACGGGTTGTATTTTTCATAAGAAAAGGGTGAAAAAAGTTGGATAAAACCTGAAAGATTGAGACTAATCTTAATAGTAAAAGTAAATTAGTAAAGATTCTGACTCAGTACGACCTTAATGGCGAAGTGTGACTGTCTTCATCTTCATTGTTCTCTCTCTCGTCTGAACTTTTTATCCTTAATCTTTGTCAACCCCCTCGTCTCGTCGCCGTCACATCCAACCCTTTTTTTTAACCTAAAATTAAAAAATCTATGCAACTCCTTTTTCATATCTTTAAGGATTTTTTTGCGTCGACAAGACATTAGATATTCAACCAAGATATGTTAGTTAATATTTATAATTTTTTAATAATACTTATACCGCTTCAGACCTTTGTTTTGACTAACATCAAAGTGTAGTCTTAGTTGTAATACCAATCTAATCGTATTTATATTATTCTGTCAATCTTTCGAGATTTTAATCAAAATTGTGCTTAACACGGATTAGAACTTTTCTTTCACACGAGCTTTATGTTAGTTGTTAGATACAATCTAAGTTGGAAACCGTCACAAATTTTTCCCTCAACTAAATCCCCGTAAGCATTCTCACGAAGATTAAAGTAACAAACTAGCAATCATATATTTATTCACTTGGAAACCAAACACCTGAAATTCATGAAGTTTGATTTGTGAAAAAAATTATATATTTTAATTTTATCGATTTCTTTAAATGAATTAAATTAAAAGAATTTAATCTTAATAAGTATTTTTAAAAATTAAAGACTTATCTTATTTAGGACTTCATCATTATTCACTCTACTAATATATACATATTAAAAAAATAAAGAGTTGAGATACTTGTTTAAAAATATAAAATATAACTTTATATTCATAATTTATTATATAAAAATTTCATGACTGGACAATGAAAAAACACATTTTAATATAAAAAATAATTTTAAGTAAAATATTATCAAAATCTAACATTGAACGTCGACAGCAGGATTCGAACCTGCGCAGGCATAGCCCAACAGATTTCGAGTCTGTCTCCTTAACCACTCGGACATATCGACGCATTCAAATCTGTAAATATTGGTTAACAATATTATATAGTAGCCAGCACGACGTGTCATTGAACTGGCGGGTGGCTTGGTGGGGCAACGATTTGTATTGGTCCCGAAAGAAGCACATGCCAAGAAAAAGGTTTACATGGTAAATTTGGTCAATTACTTGATAGTTGACACACAAAGAAAAAGAAAAGAAAGAGAGATGTGGGGGCACCAAGGCCACTAAAATATTGAACTCTGATGGTAGCAATGCACATAAATAAAACACTTGGCAGCAATGGAAATGGAACAAGCCAGATATAAAGCTTAAGTTCTAAGTTTTATTTATTTTATAAAAAAAATATGACTTGAAGAAAATAAATTAGAATTATTCATAAACTAAGTTGTTATTCAATAAGCTAATAGTAATATTTTTGCAGGAATGTCAGAAGGTTCGGTGCTATATTATGCTGTAATAATATGCTATACACAACAAAAAATAAAATAAAACATTAATTAATTTTGTTTTGCTTCTTACTTGCGTTGTGTTGTGTGCTCTTTCTGACTCACGACCCGTCCACATATATTATATATGTTAGTCTTCTGTCTTTACATGGCTTGTTGCTTCTCATTCACTTCGAGCTTTGTCTTTGTTGTATATCTGTGGAGAACCACATTACTTATGCACCAATTGACTAACACCCCATTACAAGGACCTGTGTTTGTGTCCACTTTTGGTTTGTCTTCTTGTTAGTCTCAGAATATGATCTTTGCATCAGTGTTATTCCTTCTTCCTCTTCCCTACCCAGTTTGGCCTTCTCATGTCTCTCCCTTCCTTGGATTATCTTTTGTGTAAGATAAGTTCCAGAAAGTCAATTAAAGACATTTTAGTGATTTGTTTTGTGTTTCAGTTTTTTCATTTATTTGTTTTAAGTTATGGAAGCTTGTTGCTGCAATCTTGAAGTGGATGTAAATGGAGAAGAGACCTTCATGGTGGACAAGGTAATAAACCTCCTCACTCTATTCTTTCATGATTGTTTCAAAACTCTTGTTTTTGAAGTTCTTGTCATTTGTTTCAAAACTTTGTTGGACAGTGATTCACTTTTTCTTTTTTCTTTTCAGTTTTGCTTTGTTTCCACTACTTTTGATGTAAATTCTCAATCTTTTTAGAACCCTCTTTTGTCTTGTGTTTGTTTATAGGATCTACACTATAGCATAGTTGTTGAAAACTTTTCATTGTTTTGGTTCATGGCTTCAGTTCATGCTAAATGTTGCTCTCTCATGAATTTAGAATGATTATGGTTCAATGATTTATGCTTTGTAATTTTTAATTTCTCTTTCTCGATTCTGCTTTCTAGCTTGTAGTAGCTAGCTACCCTTGGTGGTAACTTTATGATTGTGTAGCTTTCCGCCCATCATTAATTTGCACCTACATAGCAGTGAGGTGGGGCAACTTCTGTTTCCCTTTGTCCATCCTGGCAATAATTTCCATCGCCATTTTCACAAAGCCACAAGCATGAGTCATTCCTTTTCATCTCTTGATTTTGTTTTATTTTTTTATGTTGCATGTCACATTAAATGCTCCTGCTATGGTCGTCTGAGCCTTTAATGTTGTTACCTTCATTTTGTTTGTTTTATTCACATTTTTTCAGAGGGACCAAGGGTTGCTTTCAAGCTATTTATTTCTTTTCTATATCCTTCCATGCTAGATGATTAGTAGATAGAGATCTTTCTGCTCACCCTTATTTACAATTTATTGTCTTTAACGACTCCAATCCATTCTTTTGGTTTCTGAGCTTTAATTAGTGTAGAACTTTGCTTTCATTCTCCACATTTTCCCATTTTGTTTTTTTACTCAGTTTCTTTCCTTGTCTATGTGCTCTAGTGATTCCATGTTTTTGGTGGGTTATTTTGGTGCTCCATTTAACCATTTGTCACTGTAGCTTTCTCCACAATAAAAAATTTAACTTTACAGTTGTTGGAATTTCTTTGTTATCTAGTTGTTCCTAGAGAATTGTACATTACTTCTAAAATCATCTTTGTTTTACGTGGGTACTTTTGCAGACAGTTATTACTCAGTACTCAAGCAAATTTGCTAAATTATTTGGAAAATCTAGTAGTGGTTGCACTGGAAAGCTTAAAGTGATATTCCATGATTTTCCAGGAGGTGCAGAAGGTTTTGAGCTTATGTTAAAATTCTGTTATAACAATGGAACAACCAATATAAGTCCCTCCAATTTGTTTCTTGCGCGTAGTGCTGCTGAATACATGGACATGAAGGAACCTGTTGCTGATGTTTCTAACTTATTGGAACAAACAGAAAAGTCACTCCAAGAGATTAGCTATTGGACATGGTCAGAACTTTTAATTGCTTTGAAGCAGTGCCAGAATTTACTGGTGGCAGATTCTTCTGTGATGGTAGAAAGATGCTTGGACTCTGTAGTGGGAAGGCTGGTTTTGGCTAGTGAAGCAAGTCCATGTCCATCTACTTCTTCCACAGATAGTTCTTGGATTCGGTTTTCGTGTGATTCTAAAAGTACTGAGAGTATAAAGACAAATTTCTCTCGTTCAATATGGTGGTTTGAAGATCTCCTATTTTTGAGTCCGTTGTTGGTTGTAATGTTGGTTAAGTCAATGCTTTCGCGTAAGTTGGATCATGTTGTCATTGGCAGGTTTTTGCTCTATTATCAGAAGGCAAAATTTCCCACTTCTACTATGGATGAGAAGAGCAAGATAATAGAAATGGTGATAGATATGCATTATGAAATGGATCAAAGTTCTGTTTCTTGCAAGATTTTATTTGGGATTCTTCGGGTTACTTTGGGTTTGAACATAAGCAAATATAGCAGGAATAAGTTGGAGACTATGATTGGTTCCCAATTGGATCAAGCAACCTTGGACAATTTGCTTGTTCCTTCTCCTTATGGAATAAGCTACTTATATGATGTGAACCTTGTTTTGAGATTTTTGAAAGCATTCCTGCATCAGGGAAATGGTCTAGTCACCCCAATTCAGATGAGAAAAGTTGCTAGCTTAATAGATTTGTATATAGCAGAAATAGCCCCTGATCCTTGTTTGAAAACTTCGAAGTTCTTGGCCCTTGCCACGGCACTCCCAGATTCTGCTAGAGATTCTTATGATGAGCTCTACCATGCAATGGACATGTATCTTGAGGTAGAGTAATTATTTCTAATTAAAATTTTTAAGTCTATAACTTGAGTAATATGGCTAACTACTTGATTAAGAAAGAGACCTAAATCTTTTTATTATATTCATTGGAAACGCTACTATGATATGGGTAACAGTCTCAAAAATTTACCATAAACCTGTCTAAAAACTGAATTTGACTATGTATTGTTGTAGGTACATACTCAATTGTCACAAGAAGAAAGGCTGAAGATATGCTGTGGTTTAAATTATGAGAAGCTTTCCCCTCAAACTTGCTCACACCTTTCTCAGAACACAAAATTTCCTTCAAAAACTACAGTTCAAGCTCTCATCTCTAAGCAATCTAAGCTAAAAAATTTACTCCATGTTACTCCTAGCACAACTCCGTGCAATGATTCACCATGCAGCTCCAGTGGTGCTGCTCAAAAGGGAAAGAAAGACAAAATCAATGAACAGGTGGTGTTGTATGCTGACAATTTTGATCTTTCAGCTGATAATGAGAAACTGAGAGCACATTTGCGAGGAATGCAGTGGAGGGTAATGGAATTAGAAAAATTCTGTAGGAAAATGCAAGTACAGATGGCAAAGATTACGAAATCAAAAGGATCAGGCCATAGCTATGCAAAGTCTTTGCCCAAGTTCTGTTCATGACACTTCTTTTTTTGGATTTTATTTATTTTTCCTTCGTAATTTTCATATCTGTACAGCACAGGAATGAGTTTTGTGTGTCATGTAGTTTTTAATCTTTTCTGAGTAACTAAGGTTGATCCGGTAAGAACAGTAATATTGATTGTACAGTCATTAAATAATGGAAAAGACTGCAAAGAATTTCACGTTACAGTGTGGACCTAGTTACCTGATTTTCTCAATAACCCTTTATCTTGAATAATCCACCATGCACTTCTTAGATTACTTTAAAAAATGTCTTATGATTAATAATACTATAAAATGTGATAAACCACGTACTTGTATGAGCCGCATGCTGACCACATTTTTTATAAGAGGAATTCTATTCCTACTTAATATTTTTACAACCTTTTATACACTTGAGAGGTAGGAGGAAAAGATAGAAGTCAAGATCAAACGAGCAATCTAACATAAAGATTAGAGAAATAAATAAATAAATTGTAAAATATATATCAACTCTTCATCATTAAATTTCCAAGTATCCCTCTTAATTTAGAAACATGATCTTTGAAAGATCACTATTCACTGTGTTTTGATTTCGTTGTAACTTGTGAATCAAAGTTGACCCGTCACTTGTAAATAGAAGTATGGCCTGCCAGATGGTTTCACATCAAGTTTTTCAACCAATAAAATTATGGTTTGTTCGCTTGCCTCTAGATGAAGACAACATAGTAGTTGACACACATAAGATACAAAGTATAAAGGTTAAAGTCGATGACCAGAGGGGACCACATAGTTACAGTTATCACCAGCCACCACTACCTGAAAATGCAAGCGTGCATGATGACTTTTAAGAAAAATCTTATAAGCTGATTAGTAAGTATTGTAATAGTTGAGTACACTCTTGAATCTTTAAATACTATTTTGGGTGAGATATCTTTTTAGACTTAATATTTAGGATGAATATATAATTTCTTTATGTTGACTCATTATTTAGGATGAATAATTTCTTTATGTTGACTCATATTATTCTAGAGCAATCACGCAGATTAGTTGTAAGATGTGCATGGAGGTCCCATGCGTTGCAAATTAGTAATAATGCAATTGATAGCTCAATAGAAGGGTGGTGCTGGCCACCCTCTCGTCTGCTCCATGCCATGCTTGTCTTTATCAGGCGTAACAAAAATGACCCACATAAACTAGCCCAAAGTACATTAGCATCGTCACAAAATAAAGCTACTAAAGCTATGCTACATAGTGAATTAAGGTTTAAAATTCCGGTTGTAGTCGTTGCACTTATCATATATAGTCTTATGCAATTATTGCAACAAAAAATGCCACTCTTGCATCTATAATTTAACATGTAGACATAAAACAAATATACGTTCAATTCAGTTGATTTTTTAAAAATAGTTACTTTTATTTTACATGGAACTATAAAAAACGGTTTGTTTGTCTCAAAATAACCAAATAAAAGTATGCAAGCATAATAAGTTATATATCGTTTGGCCTCATGTGAAGTGAAACATTGTCTCAACAAATGAATATAAATATATAATATAATGTCTTTTCGTCTAACGATCGAATATTCGTACAGGGAGGGCATGGGAGTGTCAAAGACAGCACATGTTTTTGTGGGGCTAAGTATAGAAGCAACTGAAATCCCATTTAATACATTGGACCATTGGTGAATGTTTTCTTCCTTTTTCTATAGTTAATTTTGCATAAAGCTGAAATGCCCCGCGTGGGTGATAAAGGAACACATGTTAACAACCGTCCTTCTCTTAGATTAGAGGTACAATTAGAGGCCATTCGTGTTGGTGGGTCTCAAATCCCACCGCCATAATGGATATTGCACCACCCTTTTTCTTCTGCATGCAATTCATTTGGAAGTTCCATAGTGAAGTCCAATTTGGTGGTCATCTCCATTATATTGGGTGCATGATGAACCTATAAAGGTTGAAATTATTGGAAAAGAAATTCTTTCATTCTCTGCTTTGTGTTTTTGTGCAAGGGGATGATACAATAATGTGTCAAAGTTATCAACCTCAAATCTGCAAATAATGAGTAAACCCTTGTGGCAGGTATACTCATCGATTCCACCTATTGGGCCACTCCCTCCTTTGTTATCAAATGTAACATTCAAATTCAATAGTCTCTAATCTATTGACTAAAAATAATTCAATACTCTTTTAATTATAAACAACGTAAATTTTAAATATTTAAATAAAAATATCACCAATTTTATATTCCATGGATGCTCTAGCCAGATTTTCCTACAGAAGAAGATGCAAGCTATGTCATTTTCTGGTCACCCTGTCCCCTTGGCCTTATTATAAATCTATAATGAAGAGGGTGAGGGTTGCTAGCTAGCTAGCGTAAAATTCAGGTTTGTTTCCCTCTGCAGTGTCATTGTGTCAACGTCCTAAAAGTCATCTACATGTGCCGTAACGAAGAAGACACACACAGATTAAGAAAACCAAGTTGGAGGTTAGATGAAACTAGTTAATATAAACCTAGTTCATTATGCACCTGTAGTTTTCTTTATTGAACATTGCGTATTTGCATGTGTCATGAGATCATATGTATAGTATATATGATATGATATGACTAGTATCATAATATTGTGGCAACCAAGAATCCCTGGCGAAGAGATAAGAGTAGTACATTGTGTTATGTTTCCCTTAAACGCTACTCTTCTCCCTCTTTCGAGGTCTCTACAACATGTACATTGATTTTGTTAACCCAACAACTACTACCATCTGACAATAGAAAAATGTAAAAAAAGATGACTTGGAAATTTCGAATTCAACGTGGAAGGCTTATTATGTTGTTGACTCTCCATGAAGTCTCACATTAAGCCATTAGTCAATACTGCCAAATTTTATGCATGGATCACGGGCAGTCAATGCATATATTTAGGACTAAAGTAAATTTAAAGACGACTTTATTTTAATAAAAATAAAATTTTAATTTTGATACACTATTAATATAAATTTTTATACGGTTAATCAATTAAAATATTCTATGAATAGAATTTTAATATTAATTATTATAAAAATAATTTTTTATTAATATAATATTTTATTATTAAGTAACACAGTATAAAACATTGTTATTGTTATTGTTAGTGCGTTTAAAATAAATTTTAAAAAATAATCTTGTAAAGCTAAATTGTAATTAATTTTATTAAGTGTTCGTTCTACCAAATTTGGTTTGAAATTAAGAATCTAAATTGGAATTGGACCTACAATTTTGTAACAATAATATTTAGAAGTTTTTGTTAGAATTGAAATTATAATTCAAAAGTTTAATTCCATAATGCAATAATTTAAACTAACTTTTCTTTTAATTCTTATCTTTTATCTTCAAAATTATAATTTTTAACTTTTAAATTATATCACGATTGTCATTACTAACATCGTTGTCATAATTATTAATCCTAACTATCGTTATTACTATTATTACTATCATAATTATTTGTCAATTATTATCACCATTTTTTAATAGTATCATTTATGCATGTATCTATCATTGTTATTACTCTCTTCTTTCTTCACTAACATTATCATTATTATCAACATTATGTCCTTATTTTATCATTGCTATTACTCATGATGTTAGACAATTACAAAACCTCTATCTTATCTTTTATTATCATTCTTATTAATTAATTAAATATTTTTATTTACATATATCTAACACAATCTTACTTAAGACTACCTTTAAATTAAGATGTCAAAATAGAATTGAAATTCAACTTAAAATATAATAAATCATACAACCTATGATTCCAAGACAATTTTCATTTTGATTATCTTTTACCATTGCGACGGAGAACAGTAGATCTAATTCTCCATGCCCTCCTCTACTTATTTTAAAATGGATTTAAGATCTTTAATAAATTCTGTGTAGTTTAAAATTTGTTTGAATTTAATTAAAAAGTATTGACAATGTAAAACTTTTATACTGTTATTTAATTATAAACTATCTTATAAAGATTAGTAACTTTTATAATAATTAATTTGAAAATTATATTAATAAAATATTTTGAATGATTGATAAGATAAAATTTTTTATATTAACAACAATAATTCATTAACATTAAAACTTTTTAGGCCCGTTTGGTACTAAATTATGCTTTTGTTACTAGTAGTATACTAAAGGTCCAATGGCCCATGGACTACCGCCTCTACTGTGAACTAATCCACAACTTTGTACGTTATCGTACAATCTGGAAGGAAGAGGGCTTGTCATGCGAAGAGAGTGGCCATGGCCCATTAAACAGAGGCAGTTGCTATTAGCATCACCCTTCTTAGCTTCAAATATGATCCAATTACGTGTTGGGTGTTAACAATCCAAGAGATCTGAATTTGGGCCTTCTTAAACTAAGCTACACCACAAACAATAATTTGGCAAACGGAAAAGGTTCAATTTTACCTTTCGTCTCCAGCAAAGGTTTACAGCTCAAATTCACTTTGATCTTGCCAAAACATGCTAAAAATTGATGAGCAATGCTATTTAGTACGAACAGTTCTGTTTCCAAATTTTATAAATTTAATGTTAACTAAATGATTAATCGCAAGAGAATGTTTGTTAATATTATCAAAATTAAAACAAGTGAATCAAGGATATTTAAACAACACAAATGTGACCTTGCAATTTGGCTTTTTCTTCTTGGAGTGGACATTTGCATAAATTGCAAGGAATAATATTTGTCGACCTCAAGAAAAAAAGAAGGGAGTAATATTTACAAGTGAGACTGTTAGCTTGTAGGATATGTTAGAGAAATTTGAAATTAGTTTAAAAATTTTCAAGTATGATTATACGATACAACTTTTTAATTTAATTATTTATTTTAAAATAAATTCATTTGATAAAAATATTAAATGATGTGTAAAAATATAACTCATACTAGGTGTAAGTTGAACCTTTATATGCATATGTATGTATATTTTTTAGTCTTTTATTGTATATTTTCTTTTTTATTTTAAAATAATTTTAAAATAACTAGAGAACGGAAAGGAAAATGGGAAGAAAATTATCCTGTGATAAAAAATTATATTTCG